ACCTCATCTCGCGTCTGTACTGCTAGCCCCTGAGGGAGACCCGGATGCACTTGACATCCCGACTCCGCGCTCTTACGCGGAGGCGATAGAGGGTCCCTACTCCTCTCAGTGGCAGGCAGCTATGGATGCAGAGATGGCTGCCTGGAATTCCACAGGCACCTACGTTGACGCTGTTCCCCCTCCTGGGGCGAACATAGTCAGTGGCATGTGGATCTTCATGGTGAAGCGGCCACCGGGTTCTCCGCCTGTCTTCAAGGCGCGTTACGTGGCTCGTGGCTTCAGTCAGCGGCAGGGGGTTGACTACTTTCAGACCTTCTCCCCCACCCCGAAGATGACCACTCTTCGGGTACTGCTGCACGTTGCTGCTCACCGTGACTACGAGCTGCACTCTCTCGACTTCAGCACTGCTTTCTTGCAGGGCAGCCTGCACGAGGAGATCTGGCTGCGTCGCCCACCTGGCTTCACTGGGTCTTTCCCTCCTGGTACCCAGTGGAGTCTCCGGCGTCCAGTCTACGGTCTCCGCCAGGCGCCACGTGAGTGGCACGACACACTGAGGACTACGCTGGCGGCACTTGGGTTTGCTCCTTCTACTGCCGACCCGTCGCTGTTTCTTCGCACCGACACCTCTCTGCCGCCGTTCTACATCCTCGTGTACGTCGACGACTTGGTCTTTGCCACAGCTGACACTGCTGGACTCGCCTACGTGAAGTCCGAGCTGCAGAAGAGACACACGTGCACTGACCTGGGTGAAATGCGCAGCTACCTTGGCTTGCAGATCACCCGGGACAGAGCACGCCGCACCATTACCCTGACTCAGTCACACATGGTGCAGCAGGTCCTTCAGCGCTTCGACTTCACGTACTCCTCGCTTCAGGCCACTCCTCTGCCTACTCGCCACTCGCTCTCAGCTCTGCCTTCGGATGAGTCCGTAGAGTCGAGTGGCCCGTATGCAGAGCTTGTTGGCTGCCTCATGTACCTGATGACCTGCACACGACCTAACCTTGCATACCCTCTTAGCATTCTCGCACGCTATGTTGCTCCTGGGAGACACCGACCAGAGCACATGGCTGCAGCGAAGAGGGTGTTGCGCTACTTTTGCAGTACGTCGGGCATGGGGCTAGTGCTTGGAGGGCGCAGTCCTGTGATTCTCACTGGGCATGCGGACGCTTCTTGGGCTGACGACCAGGCTACGCGGCGGTCGTCACAGGGTTACACCTTCAGCCTTGGTTCCGGCTCTGTTTCGTGGCGGGCTACCCGCTCGTCTTCTGTTCTCGGCTCCAGTTGTGAGGCTGAGATCTACGCCGGGGCTATGGCTGCACAGGAGTTACGCTGGCTCACCTACCTGCTGTCCGACCTTGGAGAGCCGCCTCGTTCTCCTCCAGTCCTGTACGTAGACAACAAGGCCATGCTGGCCTTGTGTCGAGAGCAGCAACTGGAGCACAGGACAAAGCACATTGCTCTCCGCTACTTTCTTGCTCGTGAGCTACAGCAGCGTGGACAGTTGCGACTTGCGTACGTGGCCTCTGAGGCCAACACTGCTGATGTCTTCACCAAGGCACTTGCGCCTTGTGATCATCAGCGTTGTTGCACGCAGCTGGGTCTTGTGCCTGTCTTGCCTCACTTGCTCACTTCTTGACTTTGCATGTACCTTCACCTATATATACTCTTGCTCTTACTTGCTTGACTCTTGTATATCTTTATATATGATCTTGCATGTGAACTGGCCTTGTGGCCCTTGAACTTGTGCTCGGAATGTGTGGTGACTTTGTGATCCACCCTGAGCTTTGCTTTGCTTTGCTTGACTGGTCTTGTGACCCCTTGTTCTCCCCCACTTTGCCTATGGGGGTGTGTCAGAACATTATAGCTTACTCTTTTCTGTAGGCTATAGTGGGGTATCCCATAGGGGGTACAACCCAATTAGGGTTTCATATTTGTACTCACTTCATTTCATAGTGCACCCATTCTCGTTCAGTTTTCCACATGTTGTACTCGCTATAGAGCACCCCATTACAGGCTAGAGCATAAGATAATATTCTGACACTGAGCGCGCTACGGGCAGGAAAAAAAAGTTCGAATTGGTGGGCCCTAGGAACAGTTCCCACGAGGGAACATGCTCGATACCGTGAGAAAACTAGAACGAGAATGAATCCACTATGAAACAGTTGGGTACAAGTGCTAACCCTAATTGGGCTGTACCCCATATGGGCTACCCTACTACAGCCTACACAAAAGTATAAGCTATAATGTTCTGACAGTGAGGAAGCGAAGGTGTGGGTGCGGTCCGAGAAGAGATCGTAGGCTCTGAATACCAAGTGCTACGAGTGCAATTGAGTGAGCGAGCGACAATTGCACTATCGAAGCAAGAGTACAATGAGCGAAGGCATGAGCGAAGAATATATAGCGAAACTACAGTGGTAACGGTAATGAACTGTGGTTGTCGCGCGACGGGCCTGGGACTGAGGTTTGGGGAATTGTCAAAGCGGAGGCCCGGAGCGCCGGTTACCCGCCGAGCCGTGAGGTCGGTGTGCGACGTGCGAAGGTGGCGGGAGGATTTGTCGATGCGATGGTTGCGAGTGGTAACGGTGCTGACTGTGATGCTACAGTGGTGTACGCGCTGAGCGGGGACGCGAAGTAAGGAAAAGGAATTTTCCGTACATCACCCTTACCTATTTTCACCACTTCTATCTTCCTTGTTTCTTTACTCTCGTTCTCATCAAATCCATGACTTTGTATTGTAGCGAGATATTACATCCGCTGGTCCAGCACGATTGTTTCAGATATGGACACAGGCATGTCAGAGGTCCACTGGTGATCCCCGATTGATCCTAGGGAAGGGTTACAGGCACGTTGGTCTGGGGGGTTATGGGCGCACTGACCCGCTACCTAAACTAGCCCTTTTATCCCAATGGTCTAGTGGTTGGGATTTTGACATGGTATCAGAACGAAGGTCTCGGGTTCGAATCCCGGTGTATGCACTTCGGGCATCCCAGTGCGGAGGGGGTGTCAGAGGTCCACTGCTGATCCCCGATTGAATATAGGGAAGGGTTACAGGCACGTTGGCCTGGGGGGTTATGGGCGCACTGACCCGCTACTTGAACAAGCTCTTTTATCCCAATGGTCTAGTGGTTGGGATTCTGACAAGGCACTGCTGCCCCCCAACTCGCAAGGGTTCCTAGCGACTTCGTGCAACCATCGGTTTTATCGCCAGCCCATCGCGCAGGTCTCGATGAGGAAGTTCGGTGGGAAAAGATCAACGAGGGGCCGAACAGTGACAGGGGGGTGATCGACCAGGGGCCAAGAGGCCCGGAAATTCCCAAACCGCTGCGCATAGAGGTATTAACACAGGGTCTTCCTTTTTTGCACGTAATCATGTTATTAGTGGCATGTACCGGCTCGCATTTTCGCTCGCGTGTCGTTTAGCGAGCCGAATCTACTGGAACTCTTAGGGCAGCAAAAAAAAACATGGATGCATTTTCGGGATGGGTCAACCCTAAAACAGATAACTTCCTGGTATTTAGGGTTGATGCCTCCTGAGTCGTATCTGTTTCCGAATGGGTAATATATTTTTTCCAGTGCGTCTACGATCGGGTAGGTGGTATTTATCACCCAGAATATAATATGTTATACGTATTCACGATTTGATCCGCCGAACTTTACTTCCAGAAGAAGGAGACGCGCGCGCTGTGGTAGACGGAGGTCAAAACCCTCAATAAAAAACATGAATACACAATCTGGTTCTTTTAGCAAATATCGTTTACTTCCAGTTGGGCAGTTCTGGGCTGAAATCCTACGGTCGAGATTTACCGGTCCTACATTGAACACCTCTCTGGCAATGTTCGGCCCCTGGTTGATCTTTTCCCAAGTTCGGTGAGCCGTCAGCCACAAGCTCCGCCACCGCGCTTCACCCGAACAGATCGTGTGGTCCCAACGCGCCCACACTGTACCACGACTGGTCACTCACTGAGTTCCCTCGCTCACACCCCGCTCCCTTCTCGACATTCGTTCAAGATTGGGAGGACACTTGTACAGAGATGTTTACGAAACCATTGGTTGCGAAAAGTACACTTCCGCTATCACGATTTTGTTGTAACCACCCGTCTTTGTCTTGCGGGAATGGGGCATCCTAGAGAATCCATTCACACGCGCGCCATTGAAACCAGATCGTACTTGAAGAGTTGGGCCCAGAAAGGAGAAGTGAGGAGAGGAGAGGAGAGGAGAGGAGAGGAGAGGGGAGGAGTGACTGGTGAGCGAGATCGGGACTGGTTGCTGGGAGCGTCTGGCGAGTCGAGCCAGCGCCATTGCCGCGGCGTGATTGTTTACGTGCTGCGGCACTGCGTCCCGCTTGGTCCTCGCGCTCCCAGCATCATCTTTCTTCAAGCGAGTCCAGAGATTAGGACTCCGAGTCCCGAACGTTGGAGCGGCTCTTTCGGAGAGATAAGGAGATAAGGAGACAAAGAGAGAGTCCAGGCTGTGGTTGCACGGGATCCAGGCTGAGGTGACAGACCCCCAATCTCGCGACAAACGTTTCAAGTGACTCGACTCGACCGCAATCTCTCCTCTCTTGTCACCCAGCCTCCCACCACCTAAGCGCGCTCGTTCCCTTCCACACACCGGTCTCCGTCCCTTGCCGCACTGTTCTTTTTTTGAGGCGCCTCAAAAGTAGACTCCTCACACCGGTCTCCGCCGCTCGTCACACCGTTCTACCGCTCCTTTGTGACGAACCACGAGACACACCGCTTTGTACGCGACTTCTCGTGCCGGACGTGACCATCCCGCTGCTTTCTGCTCTCCTCGCCGCATTTGCGGACTCTGATTGATTCAGATTCGGATCTGGCAGAATGGTCGCGAGTCTGTTCGTCGAGGCGGCACGCGGCGCGCAGCTGGAGGTGCTGCGACAGGCGACGGTCTGGGAGCGCATCTCCGTCGCGACGACGCTCGCGATAACGTTCGCGAAAGAGCTGGTCGGGATATTCGGTAACGCGCCGTACGGGTTTCACGCCATGGCGATGTATCGGAGCGTGTTCTACGCCAGTAAACGCGGGCTCGAAGGTCCGCGGAGCACTGGCGGAAACGGAGGCGGGGAACTGGACGCGGCGGAAGGGGAGATCGCGCGCGGAGAAGCCGGGGATGCGGAAAGCCCGTCCGCGGCTCGGCGGTCGGCGATTGGGATCCGGAAAATGCGGAGACAGCTGACGTCGACAGGTAGAACCGGCAGGGGGAAGGATTGGGGGAGGATCGGGGGAGGATTGCGGAATGGAAGGCGAGGCGGAATGGGGCCATGGAGCAGGTTGTATAGTCATGGAGGGAGAGGACAGGGGGAAAGGGAGGAGGAGTGGGGCATGGAGCAGGTTGTATAGTCGGAGGGAAAAGGTGAGCGGGAAAGGAGAAGGTTGCAGGGAGGGAAGGGAGACGAGAATGTGACGGCGCAGAGCAGATTGAGAAGCTGCTCGATTGCTATTGGTTAACATTCTCCTTCCCCACTTGCTTTATCGAAGCGGAGGAATCATGCTATACCTTTCCCTTACTACCTCCTTTGGTGCTGCTTGCTTTCCCCTTATTGGAATGGTGTGTCCTGCCCTGATTTGGCACGGCATGGGGCTGACGTGGCATGACGTGGCTTTTCAGTGTGGAACTGGGCGTCGTCGATGGAGGCGATGCTGTGGCAGGGTCTGCCACATGGCGGCGTGCAAGTGGTCTACGACATCCGCTACGGCCCTCGTCTGCGCAACACGTACGTGGCGGGGGAGGGGATGATGTGCATGTGATGGGATGACGAGGCATGGAACGGGATGGCCTGGGATGTGTGAGTGTGCCGATGGGGATGGGGATGGGGATAGGGATGGGGATGGGGATGGGGATGAGGAGGGGGATGACTGGTGGACATGTGATGGCATGATGTGGCATGGGCAATGCGCAAATGTCGGATTTGGATTCCCGATTCTCGGGTTTCCCAATGTCTTGATCTCTGTTGTATGACACGTCATTCAAGACAGTAACCCCCTTATGACTTGTGTCCCTCCCTTGCCTGCCACAGCCTTGACATCTACATGCCACCAGATCTGGCACTTGACAGCAATGCAGCAGAAAGCAGCAACAGCAGCAGCAGCAGCAGCAGCAGCAACGAAGGAAGCAAGGGGCGGCCGGTGTTGTTTTTTGTGCACGGGGGAGTGTGGGCGAGTGGCGAGAAGTGGATGTATTCTCCGCTCGCGATCCGATTCGCTCAGTCAGGGGCGGTGGTGGTAACCATTCAGTACACTCTCTACCCCGAGGTAAGTCACATGTACACCCTCCATTCCCTCCTCCTCCCACCCCCATAGCCCCCTCATCCTCATAATTCAGCTCATCTGTTGCGACTGCTGCTGAGAATAATGGCACAGGGGAGCACATGAGCTGCTCCCGTGTCGTCTTCCCCGTCTTCGCTTCTCAGTCTCTCCTCCCGCTCTCGCGTCCTCTCCAACTCCCGTCCTCCTCTCTCTCCCCCACTTCCAGGCCCATGGCGTCGACCAGGCTCAAGAAACGCCAGCTGCGCGCGCTCTCATGGGCATTGGATCACATTCACGAGTATGGGGCAGGCGACCCTTCCCAGATCACTCACATGTGTTTCCCTTCCGCTCCCTCCCCCCTCTCCCCAACCCAGGCTCTGGCCATAGAACAAGTAGAGGAAACGTCCAGGGCGCTCTCATGGGCAATGGACCACATTCACGAGTATGGGGGCGACCCCTCGCGCATCTTCCTCACAGGCCACTCCTCGGGCGCCCACGTCTGCTCCATGGTTGTGTGGCGCCGCCTCAGGTCTGCCCTCCGCCGCATGTTCCAGGCGCATGGAAAGGATGTAGCATCACCACCCACGGCTGTAGCAGAGGGCGACAGCAGCAGCAGCAGCAGCAGCAGTGGCGGTGGCGGCAGCGGCAGCAGCAACAGCAGGGAGGGTGAATTGCCTCATTACACCCTCAAGGGAGAGGATCTCTGGTCTCTAGACGAGCCGGACCTCCGGCAACCCTACTGCTTCCTGGGCATGAGTGGCGTGTACGATATAGCCCACCACCAGAGGCATGAGCAGGCTCGGGGCGTGTTCGCTCTCTCTGCCATGTCGCCTGCTATTGGCGGGCCGGCACGGTTCGTCGCATCCTCGCCTGCTCTGTTGTTTGACGCTCTCGCGTCCGCTGCTGCTGCTGCTGCCGCTGCTGCTGCTGAGGCTGCCGCTGCTGGTGCTGTTGGTGGCGCTGCTGCTAATTCTGCTGTTGGTGATGCCTCTGCTGCTGCTGCATCGTTCGGAGCGTCATTTGACTGCCCAAAGAGTCCTCTCCTGACTGCCACTGCTGCTCGTACTACTGCTACTGCTTCCGCACCTTCCGCCCCTTCCACCTCTGCTGCTGCTAGAAGCAGGGCGCTTGAGCAGTTAGCAGCAGTAAGCGCTGCTGCTGCTGCTTCCCTCAGGCCCTCCCTCTCTGCCGCCCTCAAATCCGCGTCACCGCACTCGATCGCTACGTCAGCTGGTCCGAACGCGGCGTCAGAGGGCCCAGACGCCAGCCAGCTGGTCCCCTTATCAGGTGGTCCCCGTTCAGTGAAACCATCAACAGACTTCGGTAAAGCAATCTCCAACCACCAACCAGCTGCTTCCAAGTCATCATTAGTGTCATCCTCGTCAGCAGGAGCAGACCCAGCAGCAGCAAGAGCAACGGGCATTAGGGGTGACCATGTAGGTGCAAGTGGCGCTGGTATGTCTGTGACCAGGACAGAAAGGGGAAGCGAAATCTCAGGAGGAGAAAATCCCACCTCAGTTGCAGATGCAGTCAACAGAGCAACGTCAAAAGAAGTAGCCAAACAGGCCCTTCGATCCCACCTCCTCAAGTCATCAGCTTTCAACCAATCACTGAATGCCACACCAGCTGCCGCCATGCCGCCTCCAGCGTCATCCTTGCCAGCATCTTCACCACTCCAACCAGCCCAGGAGTTTACCGTCCCTCCGCCCTTCTCCGTCCCGTCCTCCTCTTACACAGCTGCAGCAGCAGCAGCAGCAGCAACGGTGGCAGCAGGAGCAGCTCCCACTGGAGAACAGTCTCCCCCTGCAGGAAACGCCCTGTCTCCCCCTTCCAACCAAGAAGCATCCTCCTCTCAAGAGGCGGACCCCCTCTCCTCTGATTGCTTCTCCTCCCGGTTCCTCGCCCCGTCGCCGCCCTCGCCTCTGGACATTCTCAGGCAGGAGCTGGGAGCTGGTGTTGCTGAATCTGTTGTGGCTGCTCTTGCCTCAGGTCAGCTCACCCTGCTCTCCTCACCCCCATCCTCCTCTTCCTCTCCATCCTCCTCTACTTTCCCATCGTCGTCTTCATCCTCCCGTCCCTCCTCCACCACCACCTCCTCCTCTGCTTCTCCAATTCCCTCTTCTCCCGCCCCCCCATCCTCCACCCCTCTCCTCCCCATCATCCTTCTCCAATGCAGCACAGCAGATTACGTAGTTCCTCCTGAAACCTCCCTCTCCCTCATCCGCTCACTTCAACACCTCAACTCCTTCCTTCTCCCCTCGCCTCCTCCTAGCCTGCTCAAGCTTGGGGGAGAGGGGGGAGGATTGGCAGTTGAAGGAATTGGGGTAACGGGGGAGGGATCGGGAGGAGTAGGAGCGGGAGTGGGGATTCGGGCGAAGGCTTTGGTTTATGACGACGCTGGTCATCCGGATTTTGCGTGCTGGGCTGTGAGGGGCGAGAGGAGAGGGAGAAGGGATGGGGAGGTGAATGGGGGAGAGGGTAGCGTTCAGGGTGGATCAAAGGGCGGGGTGAGTGAAGAAGGGAAGGAAGAGGAAGGGGAATGGAAGGGAGGGATGTTAATGAGGAGCAAGAGCATGAGGAAACTGAGTCATCTGAGTCAAGAAGCAGAGGGGCGAGAGGGTGATTCAGGGACCAAGGATGGGGAGGAAGGGGATGAAGTGGCAGAGCAGGTGTTATCCAGTGGAGGTGCTTCTGATGAGATGGCTTGTGTGCGAGATAGCCTTGATATTGTCACTGGGCGAGTGTCGCTGGAAGATATGGTGTGGCAGTAGTGTGGGGAGGAAAGCCTTGTGATACCTCGTGTTAAAACCAGGGTCTCAAGTAAGAGATTTTGCCATCAATTGCAAAACATTTGAGACTTGCGTTACCTTGTGTTTGTAGGCGAGTTGGACTGGTTGGCTAGGGAAGTTGGCGTGCGACACTCCCCCTATTTTGCCTCAGCACCAATTGCAAAACAAATTTCAGGTACGAGACTCTCGACAATTCTTGACATTTCACTGGCACTGTAGCTTCGGCTCCGAACCTGTTTCCATACCTAGAATGCTTGGAACACAGCAAGCGATTTAGTTCCCTTCGCATCCCTCGCTGCACCCCTTTTCGTTTTTTAGGGCTCGTCAACCAATGGGAAACAAATTATCTACAACTGCAAAAATTATATTTTTTAAACACACACCGTCATACCCCGGATATAAGCGCCACCCGCGGATAAGCGCCTGGCGCTTTTAATTGGCGTGTGGCGCTTATATCCGGTGCTTGATTATAAGCGCACCCCCTGAAGGCTTACGTATTATAAGAGCCACCATTTGTATTAGTTTTTATAAAGTTACTGGAATCTCTGTAGCGAAACACACTATTTGCATCCGCACTTGGTGAAATTTCGACCCTTCACCCTCGCGCGACTCACTGCCCCTCCCTCGCGCGACTCAACTGACTGCGCGTCCAGTCAGAATGAGCTGTCATGGGGCGAAATGACTCATTCTGACTGTGTGTGTTGGCAGTTTGCAAACTTACGCGAGATTCTTCTTCACACCCACTATGATCTTGACTCGTTTGAAATCGCAATGACAAGATGAACATTTTGAAGTGAAAACAACTAGATTTCATATATGTCATTGTATAAGCCCCGGCGCTTATAAATTTACTCGATTATAAGCCCACCCCCTAAAAAAAACATGTGTTATTATTGCCCCCCATGGGGGCTTATCCGGGGTATGACGGCATTGTGTTTTTTAAAATTGTGTATTGTGAAAGCGAAGATGCTTGTACTGCACAATTGGCATCGTCGAAGCGCGCTAAACGCCCTTCTCCAACTACAAAAACCGTGGGTTGGAGTTCATTTCCCTCCACCCACGCTTCTCGATTTTCAAACGGCTCACTCAACATTCCCAACCACCCAGCCCAGAGTAAACCGCCTTGCTAATGCCACTTGGATAGGGTACATCTTAGCTAGTGTTATTCGATTGCACTAGCTTGTATTCAACGTTGATGCAAATGTTGTAATAAGCCATTTGTAATGAGAACGATGCCAATTGATGAGAATAAGAAAGCAAGCTTTCTCAATCAAATGATCTACATGAGACCCTGGTTTTAAAGCACTAAGGGTTGATTTCTTCACACAATTTATCGATCTGTTTTGTATGCAGTAGAAGTTGTCGGTTTGAACTTGCTTGAATGAGTGCTTCAGCTCAGGATAATACATTAACACTGGGTTTTTCAACTTACGTCTGTTTTGATTACTCTGGGTGATACGGTACAGTGTGCCTCATGGGTTCCAATTAGACAATTAATTCTCCAGTCTAATGTTTTACAACTGTTTTGAAAGCCAGAGCCATATTGTAGATCATCAGTTAGATGGCTCCGTTATGAAACCTGGAACTTGTATCCTGAATTGGTCCATGTGAGGACGCGTCACCTCTTTCTTCAGGACGGCGATCGATCGTGCACACGATCGGTGTGTCGGGTGTACAGTACTTTCGCGAGTTGGCGAAACGTGCTGTTTCCAAGTTTCGGGAAATTTCGAGAATGTACAGTAAATTGGTCATCCAGAAGGTGTCACCTAGGGCTCACACGATCGATGTGCCAAAAGCCGACCATCGATCGTGCAGTTGTGGCGATCGTGCAATTTTGCCCCATAAAATTCCTAGCTTGTCACCTGTGGCTCGGCGGAGCCCCGCGGTCGGAAAAGTGCAATGGAGCACACCGATATGCACACCGATCGCGGCAAAATCGGTGTGCTGTACTGATTCCCCCTCGATCCTGCCATTTTGGAAAGAGGTGACGCGGCCTGGGGAAGAGTGGTTGCTTTTGTCGCGACGCGAGAATTCACTTCCCGCCTTTGCGAAGCTCACCAACGGCTACTTGACTGAAGCGCGCTATTTTGTCTCAGCATCAGCAGGAGGTCTCGTGTCAGCGATTTCTGATAGCTGACTGAACGGATGGAGCGCATCCTCCTTGGCGAGGTGAGGTGAGCTCTCACTGATGGATGAACTTCTTCCTCAACAAAAATCTGTCAGTCAGTCACCCCAGCTACCAGTTTAGAAACGAGGAGTAGTTTTTGTGAGATCAGTTTTTACTGTGTTTAGCTACTTGTTCCTGCTTAAATCCGTGTCGATTTGAGCCGAGTTTCTCTAACCATGGATTCTCGTGCGCATATTAACAGACTGTCAGACGACCTCCTTATTAGGATCCTGTGGCATACCTCCAAAACACGGCTGTCTGCTGTTTACGACACTGATGCTACATGCAACAACGCGACATGCAAGGATGCTTTATGCGGCAATGCTACGCGAGACGATGCCACGTGCGACAATGCTCCATGCGACAATGCTACATGCGACTCTTTATGTCCGAGGCAGAAATACTTCTGGACAAAGATTCCACCCAAGGGCTCAAGCAGTAGCAAGAAGAACTCTTTCGTACCAACTCCTCCTGCCTTCACCGATGCAGCTCTTAGTCTCCTCGTCGCTTCCGTCTGCCGTCGCTGGCGCCGTCTCTCCCAGCGTTAAGTCTCGACACTTCTCGTCAGGAAAGATCTCGCCGTTTCTCGCCAAGACCTCGCCAATGCCGTCTCTTGCTTCCCGAACCTGACTCGCCTGCATCGGTGCGACGGAAGCGTGGAAACAATAGACGACGCTTTCCTCTCGCACCTCATCTCAACATGCACGAAGCTGACGGTTCTCCACGTTGGAAGCAGGATCACTAAAGATGCGGACGTCGAGGAGAGTAGGCGCTTACACCCGATTACCAAAACTGGCTTGGATCGCTTTTTCAGGGATGCACGCAGCTGGAGGTTCTTTCCCTTGACCGCCTTGGATCCGCGCTCCACCCGGAAGTCGTCTTCCTGGCTTCGCTCTTCCAGCTCTCGCGGCTCCGCACTCTCGTCCTCCCAGACGCATCAGCGCTGACCGCTCCCGGGTTTTCGAACCTTTCATCTCTCAGCTCGATCCGCATAACCGCTTTAAAGCTGATATTTCACCACCTCTTGAGTCTCGTCCACCTGCCGCGGCTTACAAGCCTGGCCATCAGCTACGACCCCGAGTTTGAGGCACCACCGGGAACGTTTTCCGTCTCACAGCTGCCGTTTCTGAAATCTCTGCAACTGGAAGGAGAGGTTTCGCCTTTTATCTGGTTTCTTCCCTCGGGATTGCCGTGCACTAGGCTGGAGCGGCTGGTGATCAAGGGTTCCTACTTCCTTGACAGCTTCCGGACGACCTGGGAGAGATTTTGCCGTGTCTCCGCGAGCTGACCCTTAGCAACTGCTCAGGACGCACCCAGCTCCCCGGAGATTTCACGTCACTGGCCCGGCTAGAGAACCTGAAGATTTCCTCGTGCGTCGGATTTTCCAGCCTGCCCGACAACTTCGGCCACTTATCTGCCCTGAAGAGATTGGAGCTGCACGACCTGCCTCTCACTGACCTCCCTGACTCTTTCGGGCAGCTTGAATCCTTGGAAACACTTACCATGTACATGCTCCCCCTCGCGGAGCTTCCGGAATCCTTCGCGTATCTCACATCTTTAAAGACCCTGCTCATGGTCGGTTGCCGCGCATTCCGCCAGCTTCCAGCGAGTTTTGGCCGTCTAGGAGCTCTCAAGACGCTGTGCATGGTAAAGCTGCCGCTGCTGAGGCTTCCCAAGGGCTTGGAGGGAATGGCTGCCATACAGAGAATGTTCCCAAATGATGTGTTCAATCCGCTGCAGCTGCCTGATTCAGTTACCCAGCTGACTTCGTTGACCCGGCTTGACATGGATCTGGTTTCAGATGAGAATCTTTCGGAAGGGATTGGGAAGCTGAACCAGCTGCGGCACCTGAGCATTCAGTGCTGCTTCAATCTCAAGGAGATCCCAGAATCCGTGACAGCGCTGACGAATCTACATACCCTGACAGTTGGGATGTGCAACGAGCTCGTCTCATTTCCCAAAAAACTAGACACCCTTGTGAAGCTGAGACGGCTGGAGCTAACTGGATGTCACCCTTCCCTGTGGCTGAACGGACCTACTACTTCCCTGCCTTCCTCTCTTGAGTCCCTGAGCCTGGGGAGCTACAACCAGACCGTTCTTCTGCCGAACCTCCCTTCGCTGCCGAATCTCAGGAAGCTGACGTTGAATCTGGTCGATGTGGCGGGTGGGGAAGCTGGTGTGTCTGAACCCAGCGCATTGCCAATGTTGCAGCACCTGGAGTTGGTGTTGGCGGAAGATGCAACGGAGCTGGCCTTCCCCTTGGCTTCTGTCCCTCAGCTGCGAATTCTGGTCATCTCCAGGGCTGGTAACATTGAGCAGCTTCCAGGAAGCATCGGCTCAGATCTGAAGCAGCTCCGGCGTTTGCAAATAGAGCACGCTGCAGAACTGAAAGCGCTGCCAGATACGATCTCTCACCTTCACCATCTGACCTCCTTGGACGTTCATGCACCCAAGCTCACTTCCCTTCCCACCAGCATCGGTGCATTATCCAGGCTAAGGGAGCTGAATCTCTCTGACTGTTCTGCGCTGGAAAGTCTCCCTGCTTCCCTCACCCAGCTTGCCTGCCTGAACAAGTTGAGTGTTGACACTACTGGCATCCGCTCGCTTCCAGGAAACTTCGCGCAGCTGACCCGGCTTAAGAGCCTGGACCTGTTTGGGTGTTCGAATTTGGAGAGTCTGCCTAAAGATTTTTCTGAGCTCGAGATGCTGCAGTTTATGAGATATGGTGTGTTGGGAAAATAAACGCATGACTTAGTGCGTTTCTGTAGTATCGAACCTCACCCGATACTGAAGCACAACAAAAGGGGAATGAAGT